AGTTAGCCGTGCCCTGACTTAGATCAGCCAAGAAGCTGTTTCTCAATCTGTGAGTTAGCCGTGCCCTGACTTAGATCAGCCAAGAAGTTGTTTCAGGGTTCTATCTGTGAGTTAGCTATGCCAGATAAGCCAAGAGGTTCATACAGGAGTTCAAAATAAATAAAATGATACAACAGGTATTTTTTCTTCACGTTTTTCCAAATAAAATACGGCATAGCATAAATTTATTTCGAGTCAAATTCTGTCACGTAATAGACCTCTTCGGCTGACGTAATGTTTTCCCATTTCAGACTACGTCATTCCCTAGAGTATCATTTCTTTGTTTAAGGTTTGCGCTCGGTTGTACATGAGAAGACACATGAATATGGATGCAGCTCAAACAAAGAATCTTATTCTAAAAGGAAATAACACGTGGTCTGAAATGGGAAAACATTACCCCAAGCCGAAGAAGTCTATTCTGTCACGCATTTTCAATGCATTAGCCCAGTGAATAGAAGTGATTTTCTTCTTGATTTGGCCGCCATGTTTGTTCCCCTCAATTTGATGACAACAAAATGGCCGTTGGATTTCAACTAAATTTTGATCTATCGATATCGCTTTCATATAACTTCTTTTAAATAAAACTTTGTCTGAAATATATAGTATTGCTTTCTCTTTCATCCTAGGGAAGGTTTGTTTTATATTTGTCCTTGGAAAATTTTCGGTGACGTAATTAGCCCAGGGGAAAGCCAAGAATCTGAGACGGTTAAAAGAGATAAAAGGATGAGATAAAAGGTACTTACCGCCGTGTTAAGTGTGGTAAAACCGGTCATAAATTTCTTAGTTTTTTACCGGGTGCCTAATTTAGATAACAGTAGAAGTTGACGGGAAAATAATATCGGAAAAATTATATGTATAAGTACATAAGGGGGAATTATATAGGAAAGCAAAGGTGCACGAGAAAAACAATCTTCTATTATGGAGCAAAATTTTGGATTTTCAGGCTAAAAATGAAAATAAAAACCCAGTTGCTAATAAGCTTTCGATAACAGTGACGCAATAATTAAAATTCAATTCGCTGGTCAATTTTCGCAAGAGTCATGACCTCAGTTTTGCAGTGACGTCATTTCTACATTACTATTTCAGATCAGCTGGCTGTAAAGCGGACACCTCTATTAGCCATTTCGAGGTTGAGAAAAAACCAGCTGGATCGAGTTGGTATTGCAGTGGAACTTTGTGGGCTGTTTTAGGGGGCATATTTTCAAGATGGCGTCTATTCCTTCCCTACTCGCCCACGATGCACTGTATTGTCAATTCGACCAAGTTTTCATCTTACCCTCGGAACAGCTGACACCAAATACTTAAGAGATAATATATGGAGAATGACGATCCTGCACACGATGGTTAACAATGACTTATTTAGTTTTACTAAAGAATATATTACAATTTGAATTATTAAAGAAAGATTAGCAAGAACATCGAAATCTGCGATTCTGTGCCGCCATGCCTTTGCTGCATAGTACTTGTACTTAGAGTGAAGGCATTAAACCCGTGCAATAGATGTTAGACTATACACATTAGTAGACCCTAATTTCATTGTTTTCTTTTGTGGTCTATGAGATTACACGTTGACTAGCAGTTTTTATTTCACCTATTTTGCATTACTTGAAATAGACCACTTTCGAATTACAGACTTGTTTACTCAGGTTTAACCTCATTTCAGCGTCAGAATGTTCACAAATACCAACAGTAAAGCAGTGAATGCACAACTTCAACAATACAAACACTCATTGACTTTAAACAGACCTTCACTGGAATACATGAATCGATTCTATGACACAATCGAGGCTAACCCTGAGCAATAGAAAACTCGATATTGGAGTATAGTGAATACAAACTATTGCAAGGTTATATTTTTTCCGCCAGGGCTATTGATGTAGAGTATAGTGATACATACAGTTACGCAATACTGCTTTACATATATAACTTTATATAGTGTCTGTTTGTACTCTTATACAACGTCCTACTGACATATGCACCGAAACGCGACAAATAATGGCCAACTTAAAAATAACTATTGTTCTGGACTGGCTAGCCTCTCATATATGTGAAACCCGTTTATGTTTCCACGTGAACACGATTCTAGTCATCGCAGAACAATAGTTATTCAAATTGGTCGGCATATTTCGATTCGGTGCATTCATCCAATATGTACAATGACTATTATTTCACTATTTGTCATATGGTAAAGCTATCCTCCTCTGTAAAGCCATTTAAGTGCAAAAATACCGGCCTGAAACAGCCTCTGATAGAGGTGAGCTAAGCTCTTTCATTGAGTTAGCTGTGCCCATGTCTTTCAGTCAGCCCATCTCAGAAGCTGTTTCATGGTATTCTTCGATTGCGCGTTACGTCAGTCATGGCGGCCATGTTGGTGGTAAGTTTTAAAAGCACTTCTCATTAGCATTCATTACTTAAAACCACCACCATAGCCGCCATGTCTTTGTTATTTGACTATCTTGGGAATAGTTGCAACTCGGCAGCAATAGATGAAATATGAAAGAGAAATCGAGAAATCGTTTTGTTTCGCAAACCACGGTAACCACAGATCTATGCATCACATCTGTACAGTGAATCAGGCCAGCGGCTAATGTAGATCTGTAGTCACACTCACTTACTAGCTAGTAGCATACTAGCTAGCTGTTGTTTATTTATTTCTATTATTTTCATATTATTTAATTATTTATATTTCCACTTAAACATTATTTACATACTTGTTATTCACTTTGTCTTTATATTTTTTTGCTCAACAACTTTATTTGCCAACCGTCTTTATGTTAAATAATATAAGCAGTTACTCAGCTAGATTAGCTTTTTAATTATTTCTGAGTAACTTTTACATTAACATGTTCCACTTTCTACCTTTTTTGTAATATTCTCAAGTATAAGATCATGTAATAAAGTTGATTGATTGATTGATATCAACTATATCACAGCACCAAAGATAACATGTCCCATTCCCTCTAGGGGGATCGAGGAATGAAACGTAGGACCTCTGAGTACAAGAACGAGTCCCGTGTACGTGGGGACAGGGCAAAACGAGGTTTTCAGAGAACGGGCATTTTATATCAGTACAAACATTAAATATAATGAGTTCTATACATACATTAAAAAGAACCTTAGGCATTGGAATACAAATATTTCTTAATAACCCTCAAAAAATGAGGTCATCCCCTGCACACTTTAATAGCTGATTTACAGATTCATCTTACAAAGCATAGGTATTTTGTAGAGCAAGCAGGTACAGGCCTGCGTGTTTTATGGCTGACCCATTTCCAACCCTGTGGTATTTTATGCAAAAAAAGTCAATACGCAAATGCATGAACTCTCTTATTTCAACACCTCTATGGTTATATATATATAAACTAACTTCATTATATTTCGGGCTTTTTAGTTTGTTGTATTTGCACTGATCAAGCAATGTTTCTGCTCAGCTTTTATCCGCTGTTGATAATGTCTCCGAAGTTTTCTACTATCCACGTTATGACTACGCCGACAAGATGCCCCAGACATCCACCCACTGCACCACAAACCAAACTTTGCTTTAGTTTTGAGAGGGTGCGCAAATATTCCTCAATCTTCGAAAAGATTTTATCGCTGTACGTGGATCCGAGATAGCCGAGGAAAAAACGGAAAAATCCTTTTGTAAGTATTTCAATAACCTTTACCGTAAATTCCCATCCAGAGCGAATAAGAATACCTTCCCACCATTGATCGCAAGCCTTCTTTAGTTCATAAACGCATATTCCAGCCTCAATGAAACCACCTACTCCACCATACTTCAACCCCAAGTAGACAAGGCCAAAACAGATTACCCCTTTTAAAATTATAAGGAAGACCTTTTTGACGATTTCCTCGTGACTCCCTTGATATTTCCCCCCCTTATATTCCTCGTACACCTCATATAACTCATAAACGCCTATTCCTACATCGATGAAAACACAAAGCAAAAGCAGCCACTTGCTATTTTCGCGTATGAGCGGATTTAATTTCTCAGCAAAATACTGAGCAGATGGCAGATTCGACACCAGTCCACTTCTTTTTAAGAACAGAACGATTTCGTCAGCAACATTGGCAATGACCATACCCGCTGTTTTGGTATTCAACATGGAATGCAAAGTCTCTACTAATGCGACGTGCCAGCTTTTCACTTGGAGGCTGACCCTCAATCCACATATGCACCATGTGACAAAATGTTCACAGTTATTTTTCGTGGGGCTGTAGTAGTTTTCCCCAAGTCTTTGGTAAGCACGTTTGACTATTTCATCAGGTGAGAATCTTCTCAGATCCTCAGGCCAAACAATTACTTCAGCCTAATCAAGAGAGGAAAAAACCCGTGATGGTGCAATTAACCCTTTCAGTTACAACACGTCGGAACACGTCCTCAATTTGGAGGACCGCATAACAGTAGGTTTCCGATTCTCATGAGATTAAAATTCTTAGTGTTTTGTCCTCGCGTATAAAGTCGTCAATAGGCAGATTAAGATTCACGTTTTTGCGGCCCCCAAACGACAAACGTGACCACGTTTTCATCGTTTCCTACATTTCACTCTACCTTTTGCAAACCTTCTCGACAAAGACGAGTAATTTTTTGTTTATCTACTACTTGGACTTTTTTGCGATTCCTTTTCACTAATTTTAAAGAATATTTTAATGGTCAACTGACGTTTCACGTTTGCCGTAAACGAGAATCTTAAACTCTCTATTACTTCATTGCTACAACGAAGTTCATACGAAACTGTGCGCGCGGTAGATCTGGGAGCGTTACTCGCTCTGTAAGGGACAAGCTTCACAGAATTGAAGCAAACAAAACCAAACATCGATAATACAAAATTATTTCGGAAAGACTTTGCTTAACGGGCTTAAACAAAATATTCGACAAACACGACATTGACGTCACGTGAAAGGGCAGGGATTAATCACTGAAAGGCACTGTTGCGAATCAGTCTGCTCATTAGAATATTTTAGTAAAATTCACAAGCATGTAAAACTGCGATATACGAAGGGATCCTTCTCAGAATCGTGTTGTATGCGAGGCTAACAGGGTAATACAAAAGAAATGTCACAAATTCCATGGAGGAAAAGTGTGATTTCTTTGGTATTTTCATGTTAACCTCGCATCCAAGTTATTTTTGAAAAGGGTGCTTTCACTTTCATTTTATCCGCGATCAAAAATTTTCCTTCTTCGCGCTTTATTGACTGCATTAATTTTTTTGATGATCATAATCGGTTTCCAACATGCTCGGTTTTTCTACGGTTCCCCGAAAGTTTATTTAACAATACAGAGACATAAGCAGCCGTATATAAAGCATTTTAAAAATATTTTTGAACGATTTTTTAACGCTTGTCAGTCCTCTGCTAAAAACGGTAGCCAGCCGATCAGCGCGTTATATCTCAAATATTTTATAAGATGCAGTATACAATATTTCTATGAACATGTGTATATACATAAGTTAAAGTATATGCTTACTTTTTTCTTGATCAAGTCATAGTAAGAGAGAGTTGTCTTGATTATTTCACCAAGCCTTCCACTGTCTGAACACGATGTTGATTGGGAAATTCCACTGCGACTCCAAATTGGACCAGTGTACTCAGCGATTGTTATATTTTCATCGTGTATTTCTGTGCACACTGCATGGTGAGTATAGGACTTCCCTGCGCCTTCCAATCGTAAATGATCACCTACTTCCACATTTCTTTTTTTGGGTAACACTGGCACGGATTCAAACGTATATTTAGCCATAAACTGGTGTTGTTCCTTCAGTGACTTGTTTTCTAATTTGGCAAAAAACGATTCGTCTGGCATTGTTGCGAACGGTGAAGAGATCCAAATCACATGTATGTGTATTTCATTCGGTTTATACAACGTGTGGACACAATCGGAGTCTTCTAGTTGGAGTAGAATAACCTGATCTGCCTTCAATATGAATACTTAGAGTCGTGGAATGCGTTTAGTTGCACAATCAGCCAGCCTGGAAGCAAAATAAAAATGTAACATATTTCGGTTACATCACAAATTCTAGAAGAAATTTCGGACTTTTTAAAAACCATCAGCCTTTAAGTTTTATGGTGTCTGTTTAACTATTTCCTCGAACTACGACATAAAAATTACGCCAAAAATTAGGGGATTCCCCGTAGAGTGTATTTAGCAACTTACTAATAGTCAAAGAACGTTATGCGTGAACGCTTTCTGTACGATTATTCGAAGCTTGAAATAAACATTCGTAAATTGAAACGATTATACGTTTCTTACGGTTCTTAGATTGTAATCTGACTTTCAAATTTTCAATACTTGCTATTCAATCTTTAATTAACTAAAATAAATTTTAAAAAGTTGACACTCTAGCCCTGGGGGAGGGGAGAGGGGAAAGAAGGGAGGGGCTCTCCCTTTACCCTCCTCCCCCATCCCCTTCCCCACTTAGAGCCGTGCTACGCAGGCTATGAACACTCGGACAGACAACCAGTTATTTTCGTTCCCGACATATTTCATTCCTGTCTGAAAATTAATTGTTACGGGCCAGACAGCCTTAAAGTTTGAAAGCCGGAATATAGTCGAGTTGACTTTATTAAACGCTGACTCTATTCTTAGCATATCCAAACTGGACATTGTCTGACGGATCGATGATTAAGAATTGGGAATAATTAAGACCTATTGTTCCAGTGGCGGAACAATGAAAATAGATCCAGAGAGACAAAGGCGAGAGATAATGAGACTTTGGAGGGGAAAAAAAGGGGGGTGGGATGATCGATGGGAGAGAAAAGGAAAATTGGTTTTCCTCAAAACTCCATACTATGCACAGGGGGCAGAGGGGGGCCACTTTTCTTTCATTGGTTACGAAATTGTCTTGTCGCTCCGCCATCTTGTTTTACATTATTCACCGCTGTACATAATATAAGTAAACTTGAGCCCGTCAGATACCGCGCGCGATCTGCTGTGCCTTACATGACTTACAGTGGATGATTGCGCGCTGTGCGTAAATCTATAAATATTGAAAGGGAAGAAACTTCAGTCACGTGATGTTTTAATGTGCACTGCAAGTCACTGGTGACACCGGAAACGGAAAGGGAAATTGTACTGTCGAAATAATTCTTCACCCTTACCCGGTAAGGTGAAACGTTCGCCTTATCAGTGTGTTTCTCAACAAATCTCCTCGACCTCTCCCCCACTTAGTAGTATATTTGTCAGGTTCCGTCACGATTCTGCCTCGTTTTCAACTCAATCTAGTGATACGTCACATCCGTTTTGTCTTCTTTTTCGTTAACATTTTTACTTCCGTCACCAGTGACCTGCAGCGCACATACGAGCAAACCACGTAGAAAATTGTTACACGATAGAAGGATAATTACGATTAATTCAAGCGATTTGATTATTTTCTAATGCGAAGAATGAGTAAAATCGTAACATGTCTGCAATTCATCGTGAAAAAGCAAAAGTCAAAGGAGTTATTTACGTTTTTAAAAAATCACGTGACTAGAGTTTTTCCCCTTTCAAATTTTTCAAGCAATCATCCACTGTAAACTGTAAGTCATGTAAGCTAAGGCACAGCAGAGCGCGCGCGGTATCTGACGGGCTCAAGTTTACTTATATTATGTACAGCGGTAAATAATGTAAAACAAGATGGCGGTGGAAGACAATTTCGTAAACAATGAAAGATGAAAAATGAAAAATGAAAAATGTCGTTCGTGTGAACGACACTCTCAGCAGAGTGTAATGTAGTTAGAAGATAGTTTATCAAGAATAAGTTTGGTATCTCGTTTTTTACTTCTCGTTTTCTATCTTATTTTATTTATTTATTTATTTATTTATTTTTTGTTTTTTTTCGTTTTAGTTTTTGTTGACGCCTTTTCATTCTCAGTCCCGCTCGGCTAATTTAGAATTTACACAGGAAGCTCACTAGGGAAAAAAACAGATAAAAAAAAGAAATGCCTAGCGTTTTTATACCACAGTAGGTAGGCGTGTTTACCTGATATGCGTCTCTATAATATATGTTTTGATATTTTCCTTAGGAATCTGAGAAGTAAATACAGAAACCTAACTGACCATGATAAGGATCACGTGGCGTGCACGTGATCCAGCAGAACTGATGTCACACGTCACACTACCGTACACCTGCCATTATGTCACACAATTTCACACTACCATACGCTTGCCTTTAATGTCACACTACCATACACCTGCCATTGATATGTCACACAATGTCACACTACCATACACCTGCCATTGATGTCCCATAATGTCACACTACCATACACCTGCCATTGATATATCACACAATGTCACACACTGTACACCTCATGCCATTGATGTCACACTACCTTAACCTGCAATTGATGTCATAATGTCACACAACCATACGCCTGCCATCGACATGTCACACAATGTCACACTATCGTACACCTGCCATATGTACTGTAGTTAAAGTCTTCACCTTCCGGTACTTCTCCATACTTTTTTTTTAGATAGATACTAATAGATACCATATAGATACTGAGAGAATACGTATTATATATGTATGCACTCGCTTATGTCTTAGTATATGTATGTATTCGTGGATGTATATTGTGATATATTTATTATGGTAATAAATGTTATCTGTGGATGTATGTATATGTATGTATATGTGTACATACGTATGTATATATAATATATTCTGTTAATATTCTATAATAATTATGAGTGTGTATGTATGTATGTGTGTATGTGTTTTGTATATATAGAATATAGTATATATTCCTTTATTTAATATATATATAGAGAGAGAGGATATTACATGGGCGCGCGGAGATACGAACTTTATCTTCGAGTGTTGAAAAGATCTCTCACAAGTGAGCGCAGCGAACGAGTGAGAGATTTTCAACACGAGAAGATAAAATTCGTATCTCCAAGCGCCCATGTAATATTCTGTTTATTATATAATTATCAATGAAGTATGTTTTGGCTTTTTCAGGCAATTYTTTCCGTGTATTTTTGAATAGCCATCGCAATGGTGTTATTTTCACACGTGAAAATAACATGTTATTTTCACGTGTGAAGATATCAATTTTTCGAAATAGAGAAAAATAAATATTTCATTGGTAATTATATAATAAATATATATATTTTAGCTTTACCTAGGTCTTTTTTCTATTTAATTACTTCACTATATATTTATTATTTTCTTTGTTGAAGATGTAGAGCTACTCTGTAGATATGCTTCAATAAATCATTGTTATTATTATTATTATTATTATTATTATTATTATTATTCGTGTATATTGCAAACAAGAACATAATTGCCAGTTGATCTGAAAAAGTGACGTATAAATGACGGCACTGCAAAACTGAGGTGTCATGCAGCCTGCAAAAATTGACAATCAAAAAATAAAAACATGCCTGTCATTGGAAAAAAAATTAAAATCATAAAATATTGCGCCACTATGATCATTACCAAAGTTTTTTTCATTTGGTTGATTTTGATTGGCTAAAATGCTTTCTCAGATCGGCAGGAATGCACTGTCATTCTAACTCGATCCAGTTTTTTCCACAACCACGGAATGGCTAATACTGAATTAGGTGACAGCAGATTTGATATCATCCCTTAGTACAGAATTGCTTAGTTTCATTAGACGTCATTTCTTGTCCTGTGCAGAATGATCATCACCCGAATCGCAAGTCCTTTCTGACATGGATGGTCAATCTTTGACCACCATTTTGAGCAGCCATGCAATTCTTTTATAAACTTGTAGAACAGGTTGACGATAACAAAGCATTTCTTATTCGCTTCTATGTGTTAGATCAACCAAGATGGCGGCTGTTTCATTGCTATGGTGGTGGTGTTCAACCATTTCCAAGAGAATTAAATAACAAAAGACACGGCGGCCATGTTGGAGGATATAACAAAAGAATTCATTGACAATTCTTTTGTTAAGTTCCTCCAACATGGCCGCTGTGAAAACCATCAATTGAAACCCAGCAATTAAAAATATTATTTTTAGCGTTTATCTATTCGAGATAAATCATAAAATATAGTTGAATATATTACAGATGATATTAGATAGACAACCCATTTATATCTATTACATTTTAATCGTATAAAATGACATTAAACGTGATATTTAACAATTGAATCTGATCTGCAGCCAGAATGGTCTACGAGTCAATAGCCCATGAGGGCCAGAAGTTTATTTTTTAGTATTAACCTACTAATAGGTCAAATAAATGAAATACAAACGATGTTGAAATTAGGTTGAAATTGCTTATTTGTTGCGTTAGACCTCTAGTAGTTCATCCAATCAGAGAGCCCAGCATTTGTGATAAACCATTAATAGGTATAGAACCTAGCTAGCTATTCATTATTCGTAACAACTGTACGAAGCAACGAGAATAAAGCATGCTTTCTCCATCGTATAATACAGCATAAAAAATGTTCTGAGAAATCAAATGCAGCTGTCTGTTTGAAACAATGATTAAGACAACAGAAAATGCGATTAATAACACCCCTGTCCTCCCCTCCCCCTCTAACTCTTGTTTTTAGTTTCCCCTAGAAAGGAAAATGAAAGACGTTCCTTGATTACAGACTCATTTACTCAGGGTTATCCACGTTTAGTGTCTAAATATTCACAAATACCAACGGTAAAGTAAAGAAAGCACAATTTCAACTATAAAAACATTTTAAATACACTTATTTCAATAAAGTTAGTCACCAAAAACCTAGAAAACAAATACTAAAAAAGCATATATATATACAAAGCTTTTTTAATGCAAACTGCAGCTCGATGATGCTCAGAAGAGGTGAAACTGTAACCGGTAAAAAATTCGCAAGTCCATAATCAGTTATCAAGCGGTTGAACTTGAAAAATGAATCTACCCATAATCCTTGTCGGACTCAGCTTTATAGCTTTTCACTGAAACACATGAATATTCTGCGTAAAGTCGAGGYTAACCCTGAGCAACAGAGGACTGGAAACTAGAGTATTCACCAATTTCCATACATTGGTTCACTGGTCGAACACAAAGCACTCAAGCGGATTATTCTAGGGATTATTCAAATTTGAACCTTGCAACCTCGACTGAACGCTTTTAGACCAGTAAACCGATGTATGGAAAATGGTGAATTGGCAAAAACGTTCAGTTTTCTCTGGCCATGAATCTCGTGGTCACTCGCCGTAACAAGACAAGGAGAATAATCCAAGCTACAAAGGACTATTAGTAACACCAGTAATAATTTTCCTCAGCTGTCTGTGAAAAATGCGTTACCAGTGTAGTAACGACGATGCTCCATTGATGCTCCATACTTCCATAGTAGGTGACATGTTTCCATGACCTCCGTTTGAGATACACCGACAAATGGCAGGAGAGTTACATAGTGAAGTAAAGTGTTGCCATGTGAGTCTACACTGTTTGGATCAGCACCTAAATTCACAAATGAAGGAACTATCTGTGACAGTTGCTCACTTGAGACCTGTTCCAAAATGTTTTCTATGGTCATTTTAGTTTGATCATCAGCCATCGACAAGAACTCAGAAAGACATCCTTTGTGCATAAAATATGAATAGGAAGTTGTGACTTCACCCAAAGACGTACACATAAGCACAATTTTGCAAAATAGCACTTCTATTAGTGCTTTTACTACAAGTTTTTCCGTATAACCTTTTCTATAAAGCAGGTTCAATTGCTCAGTCAGATGAAAACGATTAAAACGAACTTCATTGTGCAACATTTCTTCGATAAGAAATGATAAAATGCCTAAATTGCAATTGTCTTTTAAATAGAGATTTCCACCATTTTCGAGAAGGTAAAGGGCAACCACTGGTGAACGCTGCAGAGCATAAAATAAGGGCGTTCTGCCATACTGATTTCTCACATTTGTCAAGGCTTTACCTTTCTCCACCAAAGTGTTTATATGAATGTCCAAACCCAATCTGACAATAAGAAACAACGGAGTTTCCCCTTTGTCGTCAGGTAGGTTGACATCAGCACCTGCGTCAATCAATAAACCAATAGAATCGTCTAAAGAAATTAGTGATACGCAAAGCAAAGCAGTTTGGCCATCATCATCAGTCTTGTTGACATCTGCACCAGCATCAATTAACGCCTGTACAATACTTTCATTTTCGTATTCGATTGCACTAAACAAAGCAGTTGCGCCATCATTATCAGTCTTGTTGACATCAGCATCAGCTTCAATTAACGCTCGTACAATACTTTCATTGTCCTTTCTGATAGCACCAAACAAAGCAGTTTCGCCATCATAATAAGCGCTCTCGTGATTATTGCCAAATAGGTGTGCGCCAAAGAAAGAAGTTCCATTTAAATCTCATGAGTCTCATTGACATCAGCACCAGCAACAATTAACGCTCGCACAATATTTTCATTATCATTTAGGACTGCATTAAACAAAGCAGTTTGGCCATCGTCATCAGTCTCATTGACATCAGCACCAGCATCAATTAACGCCTGCACAATATTTTCATTGTCCTTTCTGACTGCAATAAACAAAGCAGTTTGGCCATCATCATCAGTCT